AAAGCATTTAAACTGAACCTTGAAAGGAGCCAGGGATTCCAAAAAGTGAGAAGATGAGGAAGAAGAGCGTTTTGATCAGAGGGGACAACCTGTGAAAAAGGACAAAGAGGGAGAGGGAAGGGTAATGGAATGTCTCACATGGGGAACAGCAAATAGGTCAGTTTGGCTACCAGGGGTGGGGAACCTATGGCCTCAAGCCCACATGTGACCTTATAGGTCCTTGGATGCGGTATTTTGACTGAGTCCAAGTTTTACATAACAAATATTTTATTAAGGGGATTTGTTCTGTGAAGTTTGGATCAAGGAACTAGAGGGACACATGTGGCCTCAAGGCCAAAGGTTCCCCACCCTTGGCCTAGACCATATTGTGGTTGAAGGGGACTAGTGAAATGAGCCAGATTGTGAAGGATTATCAATGCCCAAAAACTATATTTTATCCTAGGAAGTTTATTGAGCAGGAGTGGCATGACCATATATATAAGTATTTACAGATGGATCAATTTGGCAATTGTGTGGAATCTGGATTAGAAAGGTGAGAAACTAGAGGCCAGGAGACTAATTAAGTGGCTATTATACTAAGCCAAGGTAAGTGGTGATAAGGATGTGAAGCAGGGTGGTAACTGGGTGAGTAGAGAGTAGTATGCAACTGAGATGTTCTGGAGCTTGGATACTGATTAAATATGAAGGATATTTACCTTCTGTCTATTTTGTATTTACTTATCTGTGTGCCCTATAGGTGCTTAATAAATGCTTGTTGGATTCCACTGAATTGAACTTTGAACAAGTCAATTCCTCCTCTCGGAACCTTAGTTTCTCCATCTTGAGAATGAAGATTGGACATTTTTAAAACCCTTTCTAACTCTAAATCCTATGGTTTTATGCTCTTGACACATACTCACACATGAAATCTGAAGCACACTTAGCCCCAAACCACAGTTATTATTCATGTTCACACTCAAATACACAGGTTAGGTTGCTTCTGCCTGGCTCTAGCAAACTCACAGGTAGAGCTTTCTTGCTAAAAGGGTAAAAACCTTGGTAGCCTAGCTTCCTACTTTTTTCTAGGTTTGTTTCTCAGGTATTCCTTCCCTATTCCAAAGGGCTCTGAGCCCCTATTCCTCAGGTCTCAGGAAGTCCTCACTGGCTACCCACATCAAAGTAGTCTAACCAGGATGAACCTCCCTCCTCATACTCCCACCATGATGACTTAGAGCCACATTCAATCAACAAGCATCTATTAAGTACATACTACGTGTCAGGTACTATGCTAAGTGCTGGGGATGCAAAAACAAAACAATCTCCCTGCACTCAAAGAGTGTACATTCTAGTATGCATTTATATACAAATGTATGTTTGTACATACATATGCAAATCATACAAGGTAATCTGAGGGGAAGGAAAGATACTAGCAGCTAAGGGTCCTAAGAAATACCTCCTACAGAAGGTGGTCCTTTAGTCTTGAGAGAAATCAAGGATCCCGATAGGTGAAGATAAGGAGAAAGCATTCCAGGCATTGCCAAGGACAGCCAAAGCAAAGTTACAGTTGATAGAGTATCATGTATGATGTCATAGGTCAAGTTCCAGCATAGGCAAGGACCTGTCTAGATGATAGATCATAACATGTTAGAGCTATAAAGGACCTTATAAATTATCTCACTTATACCACCACTTCCACAATTTTACTGAGGGTCAGAAAAGGTATAGCTACTTGCACAGTCAGACAGCTAGTTCATGGTAGAGTCAGGATGTCTCCTTACCTAATGTGGTGCTTTTTAAACAATAATACATTATTGCCCCTCTCTGGGCTTCAGTTTCACCCTCTGTGAAATGGAGTGGATGCTTCTTTTCAGCAGATCATACTGGCAAAAAATCTATTTTTTTGCAGAAGGTAGGACTTTATTTTATTTTTTTAATTAATTTGTTTTTAGTTTTCAACAATCACTTCCATAAGCTTTTGAGTTTTAAATTTTCTCCCCCTCCCTCCCTGCCTCCCTCCTCAAGATGGCATGCAATCTGATATGGGCTGTACTATACATTCCTATTAAACATATTTTCGTATTAGTCAAGTTGTAAAAAAGAATTAGAACCAATAGAAGGAACCACAAGAAAGAAGAAACAAGACAAAACATAAAAAAGAGCAAATAGTATGCTTCAATCTGCATTCAAGCTCTACAGTTTTCTCTGGATGTGGATAGCAATTTCTGTCATGAGACTTTTGGAGATGTCTTAGATCCTTGCATTGCTGAGAAGAGCTAAGTCTATCAAAGTCAGTCATCAAACAACATGGCTGTTACTTTGTACAATATTCTCGTGGTTATGCTTCACTCAGCATCAGTCCATACAAGCCTTTCCAGGTTTTTCTGAAGTCTGCTTGCTCATCATTTCTTATAGCACAATAGTATTTCCATTACATTCATATACTATAACTTGTTCAGCCATTTCCCAGTTGATGGGCATCCCCTCAATTTCCAATTCTTTGACTGGTAAAATTCTTATAGTTGACTCAAATACATAGCTTCATCTCTGTCAAGGACTAACCACACCTTACCAGGCATGGTGAATTAGGTAGTGTTTGATAAGCATGCAATTTTTAAATTCCCAGTCTCAAATGGAGCTGGACCAAAGCAGAGACCTTGAAGTTTGTCAGAGTCTGCTTTAAAATTATATAAAGTTAGTACTTTGAAGAGCAGGGAATCAAGAATCCCAGCTCTTTCAAAGGATAAAAAGTGTTAGAAACTTTAATTGCTTGATGGAAGAAACACTCCACTGTATAAGCGTTGTAGAATAGCATTTCTAGCTATAGATGAAGGTCACTTTCAGGCACTGAGCACACAGTAGGTGTGAAATGAATATTTGTTAAATTGAAATTTGAATTCTGTGTTTGGTTTGTCAATTGACCAAACCTAGGATAGATAATATTCATTGGATGGGGAATCTGAAAAGGGAAGGAATCAAACGGAAAATTCCAACTCCATGCTTCTCTTGTCCATTCCCGTTCCTCATCAAGCGTAAACTCCTGTGGTGTATTTTGTACTTGATCCTAGAGCTTTGTGGGACCTTAGGAATTCCTTTGAGCATGGGAATAGTAGTGACAGAGAGAAACCTGCAGGGGCAGAACACTGAGAGAAGGAGAGAGAGGTGCAAATTAGATGGAGGGATTGGTGCCCAGGAAAACAGTTTGACACAGGTTTTGACTGAAGGCTTGAATGAAGAACTAACCCATCCTCCCTAGCTAAGATTTACCAATCCTGCAACTATCTAGGATCAAACTTTTTGCATGGTGGGAAATTCCTCAGTCACCATATCCTACAGAGATGCATTGGGTAGGGGTTGCCTATTGCCCCTGTCACTGATCCAAAGTGGCCTCAGATGGAGCAGACAGAAAATGGAGCATTTTTGATAAATTGATTTAGAAGAACTAGGATGTAGATTCATATTGGTTATTTTACACATGAGGAAACTAAAGCGTGGGTAAGTGAAGTGGTTTGCCTAGGGTCACAAAGATAGAAGTGGCAGAGTTGGGATTTACACCCATGTCCTCTAATTCCTAGTCCAGTACTTTTTCTTCTAAATCAAAAGTCAGCAAACTGTAGCTCACTGTCTGTTCTCATACAGCCCAAGGACTAAGAAAGGGTTTTATATTTTATAATACAACGTAAAAATCATTCTTAGCTTGCCTCCTGACAGGCCCTGGGTCAGATTTGACCTTCAGGCTATATTTGGCTGACCCCCCGCTTTAAACCATGCTAAATGAGACTGGCTAAAATGGCTTTGGAGATCAGAAAATCCTGGGAAAGCTGAGACAGCCTGGGCCCAGGTAAAGGATTCAGTACTCAGAAGAGATCTGGGGTAACCAGCTCAGACAAAAAGGAGGGTGAACCAGCTCCATAACTAAAGTGGCCTGTGAAATTGCATTCCTGTATTCCAGGGGACCTCTGCGGTGATTGTAAAACAGTTTAGACATGTTTGTCTCCCTGCCCCGAGAATAGCAACCTCTAGAAGGATAGTTCCAATTCTCCCTCATGCTTAACATGGCTTACAGGAGATTTTGCACCCCTCGCTCTCCTTCTCCCTCTCTCTCTCTCTCCCTCTTCTCTCTCTCCCCTGTCCCCTGTCCCCTGTCCCCT